GACTGCAAGGGGGTTTGGTGACATTTCTGAAGTTTTGTGGAGGGTTCTTTTTTGTTTGAAATTTGCGCCAGGGGTTAAATATGTCTTAATAAATACAGCATGGCTGTGCTGAAGTCAAAATTTTCAAATATGTAAACTAGTTGTTACTTTTGATTATTGACAGGGCTATATTCTTGTAACAATTCAAGCTCATTACAAGAATCTGCACCCTGACCCAACTTGCTTAACCTGCAAGCCTGAGGGCAGCAGCAAGACGCTATTCTACCTCTCATTCTGTCTCCTAGCATTAGGCTATGGAGGAGTGAGAGGAGCTCTACCTGCACTCGGAGCTGATCAATTCGACAGGAAAGATCCTAAAGAAAGGAAACAACTCGGCAGCTTCTTCAACTGGTTGTTGATGAGTATAACTCTCGGTGCAACTTTCGGCGTCACTGTAATTGTGTGGGTTAGCTCAGAAAAGAGCACTTGGGCAGTAGGTTTCTTCAGTCAAATGCTTATCGCGATTGTGGGTTTTGGATTCCTCACCGTTGGGAAACCCTTTTATCGTAATAGAGTTGCAGGCGACAGTCCCTTGCTTTACGTTCTTCAGGTGACTCTCTCTTGACTCCCTTTCTTGCTGTAAATTTAATAATGTGGATAATTTATTGAACGAGCAAGAGATTGATTGGCTTTTTATAGGTAATTGTGGTGGCAATTCGGAACAGAAAATTGTCACTGCCTGATAGCTCGGAACAACTGTATGAGATTAATGATAAAGAAGTTGTTGAGGAGAAAATACCACATACAGACCAATTCAGGTAAAATTTTATCACTCTAAAATTTCATTTTTTTTAAAAAAAAATCTAGTAAGCAATAAACATATTATGTAAAAAAGCCTAGCTAGAGAATGACTCCTATATATTACATATTTGAAGCCACTAAATATCAGAGCCAGAATACAATCTCTTAGTTAATTTGGTTACATTGGAGTAAACTGTACACTGCCTTTAATTAATATAAATGAGGGTGGTGATGTTGCCAAAGTTACATGTACAGCGTAATCAACCATATAAAAAACTACAATTATTTAACAAGTGGATCCGGAGTGTAGAGTTCAAGAGACATAGCATATTTTGTGTCTGAAAATTGCAGGAAAACAATATTAGTTTCTTCAAATGTTGAAGCATCGTCCTATATACTGACCAAGTTTGACCACTTCATGTCTGAAAATATGTCACAGACGCAAACAGACACTCTGAAGAGAGTTTCCAATGTTCCATCTTTTCCTCTCAATTGATCAAGAAGTTTTAAAAAGTGCATATATGTATCTAGATAAACATTGTTGAAGCCCATACCGTCCCAACTACATTCAAATTTCAATACAAACCTTTGACTGGATGTTGTTTTAACGCGAAAAGGTCACTGCACTAGCAAAATAATTAAGCTAAAAATAAAGGAGTTGCAGCAGTTGCATTCAAATTTAAAAGAGCTTCAATTGCAAGAGTTTGAACGACATGATCTTGTAAACGTATTTACTGTCCAAACTTCTAACCAAGCACACCCAAACTTGCTTGCGGTCCTCAGATTCTTGGACAAAGCTGCAGTCCTAGCTCCAGACACAAGCCCAGAGCCGTGGAAAGTCTGCACAGTCACCCAAGTAGAAGAAATCAAAATCCTAACAAGAATGCTTCCCATCCTAGCCAGCACAATCCTAATGAATACCTGCCTAGCCCAACTCCAGACCTTCTCAGTCCAACAAGGCATATTCATGGACCTCTCCCTCGGCCGCTTCGACATCCCTCCCGCCTCCATCCCCGTCATCCCCCTCGTCTTCATGTCTGTTCTTGTCCCTGTCTACGAGTTCGCCTTCGTACCCCTCGCCCGCCGCCTCACCGGACACCCCACGGGCATCACCCATTGCCGCCGTTGAACTCAAGCGCAGAAATACCTTCAATCTTCATCTGAGAAAAATATCCCTCTTCTGGCTCTCGTTCCAGTACGGCATTTTCGGTATCGCAGACATGTTTACGCTTGTCGGGCTTATGGAGTTCTTCTACAGCGAGGCGCCAGAGGGGATGCGGTCGTTGGCCACCTCGTTCTCTTTTCTGACGATTTCGATAGGGTATTTTCTGAGCTCGGCATTTGTGAAGGCGATCGACGCAATGACGGGTAGGATGGCGGACAATGGGCAGGGATGGCTGTATGGGACAAACTTCAATGCGAATCATGTGGATAGGTTTTACTGGTTTCTGGCTGTGTTGAGTTGTGTAAACTTTGGGGTTTATGTTTTATGTGCTAGGTGGTATAAGTACAGAAGAGATGGGCATGATGGTGGTGGTGGTGTTGTTGGGAGCGAAGAAGTTGAAAAGAGTAAGGGAGAGAAGCAAGAGAACGGGGGTAGGCAACAAGCTTTGGTTAAGGGAGAGGAAGGAAGTGATCAATGAATTTGAATATGGTTGTCATCGAGATGTTTAAATTCAAAGGAAATAAATTGAAAATGTGGAGGTAAAAGATTTGGTTGCATGTTTGGATTTACAAGCGAACGGAGCCCGATACCTGCTCTTATACTACCCGAACTAGCATCGATGATTTTCCTTGTTGAGTTTGGTTTTATTTATTGAGGGTTGATCGATTTTATGATTGAACTATTTATAATTTTGCTAGTACAAATGCAGGGATTTTTCCTTGTATATTTTCTCACACGACGAAAACAATACGGTTTGGATTATGTTGAATCATGAGTTCATGGCCTTAGTCGTCTTCTTCTCTCACTAATTTGAATATTGTAGGCGTCTAAAATTGCCTATGAGAACCCGCACGAAACTCGAAGCAATGAATGGGCGAGTCAAGAAGATTCACCTAATCAGCTCGCGCGAGTCGCTCAGCACACACACGCCATCCGACCCGTGCGCGTCGGTCAGCGCGCACGTCAAATCATCTCGTGTGCGTCGGTCAAACGCGTGCACGTCAAACCAACTCATGCGCGTCGGTCAACGCGCGCACGTCAACCAGCTCGTGCGCGTCGGTCAACACGCGCACGCCAATCAGCCAGCGCGCATCGATCAACACGCGTGCACGTTAAACCAACTTATGCGCGTCGGTCAACGCGCGCACGTCAACCAATTCGTGCATTGGGCAACACGCGCACGCCAATCAGCCCGCGCGCATCGATCAACACGCGTACGTTAACCAACGCGCGTTCGACGGTCGGTCTCGCGGCGAAGCATACAAGTCAACAAATCAACCAAATACATGAAAAGAACAAGTCCCGGAAGAAAGAGAACATGAAAAGAAAAAAGTCGGCAAACCTGCGCGAGCGCAGGACGGAACAAACCGACCCGCGCAAACGCGGGTCAGATCAGTCTTACCCGCGCAAGCGCGGGTCGGATGCAACCGACCCGCGCAAGCACGGGTCGGACCTGTCTGACCCGCGCCGCGCAGTCTGAACCCGAAACGCGTTTTTGACGGTTTTTAAAGCAGTTTTCGTAGGATTTGTCTGTTCCAGGGGTTCTTAACTGACTTGATATCATCCCCAAACGTGATTAGGTTGTTGTTAACTGAAGATAAAGTCAAATCACTTGTTCTCATCCTAATAACTGTATTCGAGGCTTATAAATATGAGCCAAAGGCCTTCATTTTCGAGATCTGGAATTTTACCAAGAGGACGAGGTGCTGCTGGATTGAAGAGTGAAGGAGCACGAAATTTCAGCAAAGGTCAACGAGATCCCGACGAACTTCAGCACTGAAAGAGAAGTCATTCGAAGGATCCGAAGCCCTGCACGTCCGTTCATTGAGATTAGGCTTGGTCTTAATCTCGAGAAGAGCCCTGATTTCGCTTGGTTGATCTCAGCCCTTAGTGAGGTAGGAGCTCTGCCCGATTTTCCAGCAACCGGATCTGATTCGCGGTCGTCCACGGATAAACCCCGGCACCGGCGAAGAACCCACGCAAGCAAGAGCCGATAAATGGATCTTGTGTTTATTTTCAAGAAAGTTATAATCTTTTATTTTTGTTATTTGAATTCATTTGTAACGACTAAAGTTTAATAAAATCAATGATGAAGGCAGCTTTCAACGAAAACAAACTGGCGACCACAGTGGGAGCCGACAACCTTTCTGCGAAGGCTGACGTGTCGCAACCTCGGATCCTAATCCCGGTTGAAATGGAGGTCGAATATGAGTTCGACCAGCAGAAGTATGAGGAATACTTGTCCTCCTCCTCCAGATTGGCCTCTCCTCGCAGATGCAGGAAGGCCTATTCCAGGTAGACCCGTTGGACTTCAGCTGCAGAAGCCCAAGAAGAAGATCTTCCCGCCACCGCTGCACTTGTGGCTCATAATGCCCCGCCGGCATCCGACGAGGCTAAAACAACAGATCTGAACCCCTTGAGTAAGGAGTCGACTGTTGACGACGTACCAACTCTATCAAAGAGAGCACGTCAGAGGCGACGCCAACGCCTCGCGCGCCAACTGGCCAAAGCCTTGGAACCAGTTGATGGAATCCGTTATGAAGCGGATTTGAAGTCCAGGAGACGCCAACCACTACAACAGGGAGTGGACAACCCCTCCTTCAAACCAGCAAAGAACGAATGAGTCTGTGTCAAAAGGACCCGATCGACTCTTTAAGAGCGGATTCAGAAACGCCGCGCATTGCTTGCACATGCAAGAATTCTCATGCAAGAAGCCAAGAAATTGGAAGATAAAGGAGTGGAGAAGAAGCCACAAAGACTGCACCAAGTATGGAGGCCAAAGTCTAAGACGGCGGCCAAAAAAATTAAAAAACACAGGTCATTCAGATCCGACCCTCCGAAACACGGGTCACTCAAATCCGACCCGCCGATTTGCAGGTCACCCAGATCCGACCTGCCGATTTGCAGGTCACCCAGATCCGACCCTCCAGTCTGCAGGTCACCCAGATCCGACCCTCCAGTTCGCAGGTCACCCGGATCCGACATTCCAACCCGCGGGTCACTCAAGTCTGACCCGCGTCAGAGTCAAGACAGAAGATCTCCAACACTTGTTTCTTCGATTCCATCAAGTTCCACACCTCCGGTGGAGATCCGCAACAGTGTGGATCTATCCCATTTTACGATAACCATCAAAGATCGTCTTGGCCCTTCACACGAAAATCAAGGCAAAGCTCCAATTAGAGAGCGCTCAAGCCCGTTGAACGGATCTCGAGCAGTTTTTCAGGCTGGAGGTCGCGATCGTCCTCCAAAGCAATGGAGGAGAACGCATAACGGGAAAAGTCCTATAACCGACCGCATTAGACTGCATGTCGAAGTCCAAGAGCCTGTTGAAAGCCTACGTTCACGAAAACGTAACTTCAGACATGTGACTCTTGAAGACGTAACAAAGCGTTGAATTCCCAGAAGAGGACGTACTCGTCAGACGAGGACATTACACCTAGGGACTCGTGCCAACACACGATGGGTTGCTCCGGTCATCCGACCGATGAGTTGTACTATCAAGCTCGAGATACGAACAGGTCTCGGAGAAGGAATCACCAAGAACCGGACTCCCATTGTCCGTGTTCCAAAATTATTAAGGCGGTATTGTCACAGTGTTGCTGTTCCAAAACCGTCCCGGAGAGAGTTTCAGTTTTTGAAAGAATCTCCACAAGAACATCTGAATCCAGACCAAAGCGTTTCCGCAAGAAGAGAACTGCTCTTCAGGATGATGAATTTCCAGAAGTGTCTGTTAACATGACAGGGAAAGGAAAGTTGACACGACACTTTAGTCCGGATCAGTTTGTCGCAGTATCCCGACGTATGACCCGATTGCGATCGGGAACCATCGAACAAAGGGATTACCAAAGAATGCAGAAGGGACTTCCTTCGGAAGACGAGACGTCGGATGCTTGTTCGGATGCTTGCTCAGCAGTAGCTTCCGATGATACAGCATCCAGCGCAGGGCAGTCTTACGAATCATTTATTATCAGCGCTGAGCAAATGGCTAAGATTCTTGATGATGCTCTAACTAAGCAGAAAGAGAATTTCAAATTTGAAATGAAAATGGCTATGCAGCAAATGAGGGAGATACAGGACCAGCAAATCACATCACTGACAACTCATCAGGGAGAGTCTAGTCGTCGGAATAATCCCGATCAAACTGATAATGATCGGGAAGTGGAGGATAATGCCAACATGAACACCCCTCCCATCAACAACAATAATAGGGGTGGTCCCTCGGATGATAACAATACGAAGGAGGACCACGTTACTTCTCCCTGAAACCACTCAAAGACAGATACGAGTGAGGATAAGAAAATGAGAGATTTGGAGAGCAAAACCAATACATTGATGAATGCTCAGGAAGTGAAAAGGTCCGGAATACAGTGCCCATACCCAAGACAGTGGGAGTCAATCCCATATCCGGCAAAGTTCAACTTAATCAACTTCACGCCGTTTGATGGAAAGGGTTCCCCCACTCAGTATTTAATATACTTCAAGTCTCACTTGGGGATAATCTCCGGGAATGAACCTTTGATGGTACGGTCATTCGTCAGCACTCTTCGCGGAGCAACCTTCGATTGGTATCTCCGCCTCAAGCCGGGGAGCATTAGCAGTTGGGATGACATGGAGGACATGTTTCTCACAAATTTCTTTGATGATGACACCGAGATCTCGATCGGAACATTATTTGACGAGGAGCAAAAGGACGAAGAGTTGGTGGATAATTTCATCAAACGATTTCGGAACAAAGCCATGAATTGTAGGGATCCGATTAGCGAAGACTTCATCCTGGAGACTTGTCACAACAATCTTTCATTGGATATCCTCAAAGCCATGGGAATGGCGCCGTCCAAGACCTAAAAAGACTTGAAAGTCCGAGGGAAAAGAGCCGAACGTTTCCTCAAGAGGAAAAAGGCCGAAAGAGGTCAAACGGAAACACCAGCCCCACAACAGAATTTTGTTCCGAAGGGTAAAGGGAAAGCGCAAGTGAATGCAGTAGATGCAAACCAAACGTTCGAAGTGCAATCGCAACCACAACAGCAGCAGCAGAAGACGCCCAGCAGTCACGGTGGCAACAACAGACTCAGAAATAGAAGGCTTCGGAACCGAAATTCCTGAAGGTTTACTCGTTCAAAGAGGATGAAGTTCTCGGTATTTTCAAATACCTTATAGAGAAAAACAAGATCAAGTTACCTCTGATCCAAGATCAGGAAGACGCTAAGAGGGTCAATGACCCAAAGTATTGCGCATTTCACAAAGCGGTTCACCACCCTACCAAGTCATGCTACGCCCTCAAGGATAAGATCCAAGCCTTGATCGATGTAGGGGTTATTACCATGAAGCAGCCTAAAGAGAAGAAGGTGGGTGCGAATGCGGTGTCAATCAGCTTCGAATCTGTCCCTTTGAACTGGTTTCAACCCGAGCCCGTGATGAAAGTTGCGATGAACACCGTGAATGATGATCCTCACAAACAACATCAGAAAGGACTTGTGCCACGCACAGCCCCGAATGACGAGATTCTCTGGGTTCATCCTGATTTGGTC